GTCAGGAGCGAGAAAACGCACGCAAAAATTCTTGAGTATTTTTAAGTAAAAAGAGATTTATTTGTGTGAAAGAACATTTCAGATCGCTCTCTCTTTCTCTCTCTCTCTCTCTCTCTCTCTAGCAAAAATGCTCCCAAAACTATCATTTTCCTTTGACAGTCAATAAATAGCCGTAAAATTAATGTGACGTATTTTACGTGTTTATCGACTGTCAAGGAAAAAGAATAGTTTTCAAGGCAGGTATTTTAAAAGTATGCCCGAGCGATCTGAAGCGTTCCACCGTTCAAATATCTTTTTACTTGGAAATGGTACACAAGAATTCTCAGCGTGTCATTTCTCGCGTCTGACGTCACCATCCAACATAGCCACGGTGAGTGTCTAGGAGCCTTAATAATTAGAACCTCGTATTAACATCACCTTATACAAACAACTGGTTGGGATCGACCTTTATCAGATCCATGGGATCAATTTCTAGCCGGGACATCGTTAGCACGCTCCAAATACGGAGTTTGACCGCGATATCAATTCTGCCTTTCCGATTGTCGAGTGATATTCCGGAATATCAGAGGGAGAATGCGACGGATATCCGTGAAGCTTGTCAAAATGTCAAAGTATTGCACTAAGATAAGAACGCAGTTTCAATGACATATTCACGAGTGACTCACTAAAATAAGAGTGCTGTCGATAACGTGTCTTTCTTTTCCTCTTAATTAAAGATATCAGATGCGACAGCAGGACTTGAGTGATCTCGAAACGCGAATATATATGTAATTGCGAACATTGCGAAGATTTTAATAAAAGTAGCACGACTGAGAGAAAAATATAATAAAATTTCATATCTCTCTCTCTTTCTCTCTCTCTCCTTCTCTCCCTCTCTCTCTAGAGGTACAAAGATATAGAGAGAAAGAGAGAGAAAGAGAGAGAGAAAGAGAGAAAGAAAGAGAGACGGGGCACACGTTAATTAGCTAATTAGCTAATTCGAAAGAGTATCGATACGACTATTGATACGTATCAATATGCCTCTGGCATCGATACATATCGATAATTGTATCGATATTTTCGAACACTATAATTAACACGCATAGTAATTTTTCTTTTTAAATATCGATATGTGTCGCGGGATGAGGATGTGTGCGGCATATCTGCGCTTTAATATAACGTGCACATGCGTCGTCTTTTGCGAACACAGCGATGATTTTGCGGCAACGCCGCGAACGCCAACGGAGAGGACGCGACGACGGCGGTGGTTGGAGAATAATAATATGCTGTACAAAAAGAGTGGCTTTTCGCGAAGGCGCTTGCGCTATAATGAATCGACACGAGCGCGAGACGATACTATGCTGATACTACGAGCCATAACGGGACGGCGCTGTCGCGTATTTACATTACACAATGATGCACGTGATAACATTATACGCGCGATCCTCGCCATTAGCCGTGATCTTATCCCTCTCGACTATTTTATCGCAAACAATTTTGTATTACGTAAATGCATCGAGCGCTTCTACTGCGCGCGCGATCGTGAGAGAATCGCCTTTTCG